CTTGAGAGTCTTGACTTTTCGAAGGTAGGGTGAATTTGGTCAAACTATATGTAAATAGTTTAAACTTGTTTTTATTATTTTATTTTTGGATAAAATATATTTTATGTCTCTCTAATTTTTTTTTATAGTTAATAGTATGTTTGATTGCATGTTATCTATATGATTTTTCACGTTTAACTAAAAATTGATAATTATAACTTTCACATTTTTAGAATGAATTGATATGATTCTCTGCTTTTTAATGTGTTTTCAAATATGCATTAAGTAAATTCCTTGTATTTTAAAATCGATTATAAGTTTGATTTTTTTGCATTTCATAAAAATAGGCAGAATTCGTTCTTTATCCTAATTTGTCTATGATGCCATGTGTTAACATGTGACGATCACAAATCATCAGAATGTGATACTAATATATCCAACCAATTTTAGCAAATGTGAAGACCAAATTCATTGATCTTAAAATGTTGATGCTAAAACTGAAGTTTAACAAAAATAAAATAAAACAGAAGACCTAATATACATTTTTCTCTTACTTTTTTTTTGTCTGCACCAAATCATTATTTGTTTTAGAAAACATTGTCTTCCAACATTTTCGTGCTTATTGCTGATGATAGTAGTTAAACTAATCATTTATTGTAAGTGGATCAATTATAATATGTTAAATTGGTAAATGAAATAGGATAGTGATTAATTTATGGGTGTTTATGTGAGGATAAAAATAGGTTTTTTTTAGGCACCTTTATCTTGAATCATATAATCTATTACTAATTCATTTAAACTTAAGCTCTGTGATATCACTTTATATGCGTATATCAAATTTTGTTAAAATTGAACACTTTAATTATTTTCAAGTTGTTGTTTAATTTTAACAAAATTTGATATATACATATAAAGTAATTGAACTTTTAATCTAACAGTTGGATTTACAAAATTTATATTTAATATAAAATTATTGAAATGCGTAATACTCAGTAAAAATTATACCTATGTAATTATAACCCTCCTCATATATATATTAGAATTAATTAGGAGAAAAGGCAATTTCGTGTACCTCTAAGATTAAGTAGTTCAATCTCTATGGATTTTTTTATATATACACAAAAATGGTAAAATAGAAAAACACTCACAGTACTATTGAATAAGATGTTAATGATATGTTAAAGTTATTAAAAAAGACTTACCTAAAACATTACTACACAAATCTAAAGCACAGACAGGTACAACTACTCAATTAGTCTTTAGATATCACAACATCTCCCAAAATGAGTTATCCGCTAAACAATCTCTATGATTGAATTCTATATACGTAGGCCCATTGTTTTATATTAGGAAACAATTCACTAGATGGTACATACATTTATCATCACAATATATATAAAGATTAATTTGGGGGCACACATTCCAATTATACTGTATTTAACAGTTTAAAGTAAATTACATTAAAGTTGATTTTACTTTAGAACTAATGTGCCAACCTTCTCAAATGATATTTTTCTAGCTGCATAAATAGTATATTGCGTTTGCTCATGCATATACTAAGCAGAGTGATTGGTGCAATTTGGTGGGGAAAAAGAGTACGTAGGGTAGTGAAGAAACAAATGACTGATGCTAGCTACATAGGAGACGCTCCACATGGCAACTCTTATATATTGCTTTATCTATGGACGTTAACGTTGTTAATGACACGATAACTTTTGCCCCATGTGCCATCTACATGCAAGGAATGAACTTTGTATGCTAATTATTAACGAAAAGGGAACCGATGTTAGTAAGGGTTTAGGTTTATTTAAAAGGGGAAAATTGAAATTTAGTAGAACAGGTAACAATGGAACAAGTAGTTGTTGGAGAGTGATCCGAGCGAAGGTTTAAGACCTTTGAACTTGTATAAATGTTTTCAATTAAGAGAATGAGTTATCTTAATCATGAGTGTTATTCAAATTGTGGAGAATAGTGGCTTCTAAACTTATAGGCTTTTGTTGATATTGATTTTGTTTGTTTAAGGTTTTGGATGGGTTGTGAATATCTAGATACTATATATTTATTATGGGTATGTTTGGGTATTTTTTTTTAAAGTATTTATTTATAAGAGAGAAAAATAGAAAGAAAAAATGAAGTAAATTTTTCCAAAAATTATAATTAGTTTATCCGTAAGCTAATTTGTAGAAACTTTCTTCTTTGACTTTTTCAAATTTTTATTTTTAACCGAGTATAAACTAGTTTTAACCTATGAAAAACTTATTTAGTTTTTTCTTTCTATTTTTTCTCACTTAAAGGTACTATTAGATAGGTTTTTCCAAATAGACCTTATAATTGATTGAATTTCTTATGTAATTTTGCGTTACTGTCATATGTTGGAATGTTTGAGCTTGTTAACAAATTAGTTTTGTGATTCATTTATGTGTGAGTTGAGACCATTGTAGTTTGGGATTTAGGTTGATTGTATGCATTACATGATTGTCTATATTAAACTATTGGATTGAGAAGAGTATTTTCTACATTGAGAAAATTTGACACTCTGAGAATTAGTTTGGGGGTTTTATGAAAGGATAAAACTTACATGTAATATCATAGCTGGTGTCAAAACTATTCTTCAATTAGAATTAAAGTTTTATTTTAGTAAATATGTATTAATATTTGATGGAATCATTTATTATACATTTACCTAGGTGAAATGTATTTTTTTTTATTGGAGAATAATACAAACAATACATCTGATGCTATATTTAAGTTTTACTCTTCATGAAAATTCCAAATTCATGAAATACACAAGTTTGTGCTAATGGGCTACCCTAGTTAAGTGCAAGGATCCCAAAGGAACAAGGTTTGGTCTTTGACCCTCTATGCAAATCAAACCACGTGTTAAGCAAATTAGACTCTTGCTAGCTAAGTGCAAATCACATAAAGAGCACTAATGATTTTATCGTTGAGTATAAGTGTCCTCATGCTAAACTCAAGACTAACAAAATGTATCACACATTTTGATGTTAAGTGTGAGTGCCTTCATGTTAAGCACGAGGTATCTCGCACTAAATGTAAAAGTTATAGAGAGAAATCTTTGCACTCTATACTTTTGGTTTTAAGTACTATAAAGTCAAAAAGTGTAGCTTTTTCTCTGTCCTCTTTGCACTTAGTGTGCGTTTATTGGTACTAAGAATTTGAGATGTGTTTTAAATATTGTAATTCCAAATTAAACCCCTTTGAACATGTGATTAAGATACTTGTGAACAAGAGAACCTTGAGGCTTTTAGTATGCACATTTAATATCGATACATTTAGGATTTTAGGGACCTATTCTAGTATAATAGGATATGAGAATATAACTTTATGAACACATGATGTGTTATGAAAATATTGAGATATTTGAGAATCATTGAGATTATATTAGCTTTTTGCATCAAACATGCATCTTAAACATATGAAATTGAGTTTTCAGAGTATGTGATATGAATTTTATGTTAGGGAGGTCACAAAGGATCATAGGATTTTGACCTTAAGGATGTCCTTAGATTTGGATCTCCGAATGACCTATCTTAATCCCATGAGGTTGGATTACATTTGCAAAACTTCATAAGGTGAGAACAATATGATAATACATATAATATCATGTTAGACAAAACATTATTTATTAAGAAACCTTAGCACTAGTAAATAATTAATAAAATATTATTAAATACATTACACTAGACTAAGTTGGGACAATCCATAAGATATCTTGACTTTGCCCTTAAAATATATTCTTTTTTTTAAAAAAAATTCAAACACATTAAAAGTCTCTTTAGATCAAGTTAGGTTAATTTGATAAATCTTATCACAAATACTCTAATGAAATGTCTACGTTGTATAAATGTATAAATAACAGTAGTTTACACATCAAATATAACTATAATGATATTATATATATATATATATATATATATATATATATATATATATATATATATACATATATATATAAAGAGCATAAAATATCTACGTTGTGTACATGTATCATTACTCTTTATCAAACTATATTACATATCGCAATTTTTACTTTCTTTTTTTGTTTTCCTCTCACTTGATGTATGCATCTAATATATGTATAATGATACAATTTTCTTTAGAGTTATGCGATGAAATATGAAATATGAGAAAATAAAATTATATTTAATGTTGAATTAAATTAATGTAGCCTTTAAATCTAAATTACCCATAAGTCAAGAACAAATACACTTTACTTTTTTTATTTTACACATCTCTCCATTTTATAAGCAAAACCCCTCCATTATATCTCAATTATCGATCGTTACTTTTGTCATTAATGTTTAATTATTAATTATGGCGCTAATCATGAGCGAGATCAAAACATTTGATTCCTCTAATTGAGAAGTGCACTTTAAATTATAGAGGGCAATTATGAATCGCATAATAGAAAACTAAAAAACTAAGCACTTCCAAGTAAAATCTATCATATTCAGACAAAAATTTATCGAGTTATATGAAATATATTTTGTCCAATGTGTGTGTTAACTAACTTCATTTTGGAACAAAAGTAACAGCGATTGATTATGATTGAACCCCTTTCAATTTCTTATCAATGTTCTTTTTTTCTTTTCCGACATCCATTTATGCATAAGGGGGCAGCCACAAAAAAGTGCTAGTGTGCTTCTACATACATTCACTATTTTCTTTCAAAAGCCACAAACCAAAAACGCTTAAAATTGTTATAAAGTTTCATTCTAGACCATGATTGTCACTTAAAGATGTCCATGGATGGTTTAATCATGTCACTAGAGCTGCATGAAAGAAGATTCCAAATCTGAATAAACTGCCATGTTGGACCCTCTTATGAAGTTCACAAATCAAAGAAAGAAAGAAAAAAATTGAATAAAATGAAAAAAAGCAACGGACAATGGTGAAACTGGTCTCAAAAACCGACACAAAGTGGAACACTAAATATTAATTGAGTGATGAAACTGTCTGTGGTTAATGGTTATCCAATTTTTTTTTCCATCCCAACAACACTTGCTTTTGCTTTTGCTTTTTAAAAGCTAAAGATGACACCAAAGCAGTGTGTGTAAGTGTGTGCGAGAATGTGAAGGAGGAAAAGTTCAAGGGAAGAGAGAAGGTAAAGAAGAAAGAGAACATCGGATGCTGTTAGTGTTATAGCTTTCTACACTCTTCATTAGAGAATTCATCTTATCAATTTGTGTATGAAATGTTGTCATTGCTCTTTCACTCACTCTCATAGTGTATTTGGTTGCTACTCCTCTAAACCAGTTTTCCCACAAATGGCCACCTTTCCTTGTTTCAGTTTTGGACCCTTTTGCATGCTATTCTTCCTTGTGTGCCTCACTAGTCCTGCTTCTGTTTCTTCACTTTCCTTGAGAAGGCAAGCTTCTATCCTTGTTTCTATGAAACAAGGTTTTGGAGTTACCAACTCTTCTCTGAGAAGCTGGGACATGTCAAACCACTTGTCCCTTTGCTCTTGGTATGGCATTCAGTGTGGCCATGATAACATGTCTGTGGTGTCACTTGACATATCCAATTTGAATGCTTCAGGGTCACTTTCACCTTCCATCACAGGACTCTTGACCCTTGAGAGTGTCTCACTTCAGGGAAATGGCTTCTCTGGGGAGTTTCCAAGTGACATTCACAAGCTACCAAGGCTGAGATTCCTCAACATGTCAAGCAACATGTTTGGTGGAAACTTGAGTTGGCAATTCTCCCAGATGAAGGAGATTGAAGTGGTGGATGCCTATGACAATGCTTTCAATGGATCACTTCCTGAGGGTGTCATTGAGCTCCCAAGGCTCAAGCACTTGAACTTTGGAGGGAATTACTTCTCTGGGGTAATCCCTCCTACCTATGGAAAAATGGAGCAACTCAACTTTTTGTCCCTTGCAGGGAATGATTTGAGAGGGTTCATACCAAGTGAGCTTGGAAATCTCACTAACTTGACTCATCTTTACTTGGGGTACTACAATCAGTTTGATGGTGGAATACCACTTGAGTTTGGTAAGCTCACCAATTTGGTTCATCTAGACATTGCAAACTGTGGTTTGACAGGTCCAATTCCTGTTGAGTTGGGAAACCTCATCAAGTTAGACACTCTCTTCTTGCAAACCAATCAGCTAAGTGGCTCAATCCCTCCTCAGCTAGGAAACTTGACCAGCTTGAAAGCTCTTGATCTGTCATTTAACATGCTCACAGGAGGCATCCCTTATGAGTTTTCATCTCTTCATGAGCTTACTCTCTTGAACTTGTTTATAAACAAGTTGCATGGGGAAATTCCTCACTTCATTGCTGAGCTACCTAAGTTGGAGACTCTCAAGCTTTGGCAGAACAACTTCACTGGAGTGATTCCGTCAAGTCTTGGTCAAAATGGGAGGTTGGTTGAGCTTGACTTGTCAACAAATAAGCTCACCGGTATGGTACCAAAATCTCTGTGCCTTGGAAATAGGCTCAAAATTTTGATCCTGCTGA